ATTTTGATTTTCATAGCATTGGAAAATATGAAAGGAAATAGAAGTTATTTGGCTTAATGATAATGCTGACATGGCACAAATATCAATTTTTCTAAATTTTGAATTGACTTTTTTTAAAATATTAATAGGTATAATAACTTATATTTTCTTTTATTGCATTTTATTTGCGCAACAAATGTACTTTTGCGCATTGAAAGATTTTAGACAAGTGGGCATTATTTAGTAGATTTATTAGATAATTATAACATGGTTTAAAAAAAGGAAAAAAAGCCTAGAAGTGAATAGTAGTTACCTGTTTGTAATTTGCATCGATTTAATTATATTATTTATATTTTAAGATAATAAGAAAATTGATTAAATGTGAAACTCAAATTTCTTTTTTGGGACTTAAATTTCTTTTTCGAAACTCAAATTCCTTTGTTGAAACTCAAATTCCTTTTTGAAACTCAAATTCCTTTTTTGAAACTCAAATTTCTTTTTTTGAAATTCAAATTAATTTGAAAGATAACGAAGAAATTGATTAAATGTGAAACTCAAATTCCTTTTTTGAACTCAAATTTCTTTTTTTTGAAATTTAAATTTCTTTTAAAGATAAAGAAGAAATTGATTAAATGTGAAATTCAAATTTCTTTTTTGGAACTCAAATTCCACCTTTTTTTTGGTATGAAAAAAATTTGGTTGCTATGAGATTTATTGTCCTGTCTTTATCTTTGTATGCAAGAATTGGGTTAAAGATTATTTGAAAAAATTATGCACATAAGTTTAGGACAAGTATGACTTATTTTTCTTCCTTATAAAGTTTAATTAATTAGGAAAAGTTGAGGAAATAACTTTCAATCTTTAAATTATACCTATTTAATTATAAGTGAATGAGATTTGTTTGTTCAGTGTTACACATAACTAATTGTAATAATATATATATTCAGGTAATAATTTCAAAAGATATTTAAATCCTAGGAAAAATCAAAGAAAAAGATCAATGATCAAGAAACTATTATTTTGAAGATGCTAATCACTTATATGATTATATCAATCTGTGGTGTCATTGATCACTGTTATCATAGATTATCAAAGTTCTCGAGTGAATATTTACCCATTAAGTAAATACTTTTATTAAAGTAATGACGAAGGTCATGATGAAACAGTAATACTTTTATTTAACAAAATGAGCCAGCAAAGAAAAAAAGGAACGAGTCAACAAAACAATCAAGGATTTGTCTATTTATCCAAATATATTTATGGGACTGATCTGTTGTTGGCCTATTTTATTTTTGCCCAAGAAATATTTGAAATTTCTGGGTCAAGCTGCAGGTCAACTTTGAGCTAACTATAAGGTCAAGATTTATTGTATATCTGTGAAGAGGTGTGGAAAAAAAAGCATGCATTATTTATCAGGAAATGAAAGACTGGAAAATTTATTCAGATATCTTTAAGGCTGAAAATATTGAAATTAATCTGATAGCTTCCGGATGTTAAACGAATTTCTTTTATCAACTAACATTAAACTTGAACATAAATATTACAAATAAATTATATGGATTAGTTATATATATATGTTTAAAATGAGGATTAGAAAATTAGAATAAACATGATTCTTCCGGAAAACTAAAATTTCCTGACATTCCGGATTCTTCCAAAATTAGAAATTCTTATGTATGAAATTTCAAATTCATATTTCTTGCTTTTCCTTTTCTTTTTTTTTGTAAATAAATAGACTACGAATTATTTCCTCCCCAATGAATTAAATATTTTACCTATTAAAAGTATTCCTTTTCTTTCTTTTGCTAATGAATTGTTATTCCTGTATAAAGGTCATAATAAAGGTCACAGCCGTACAAAATCTTTTTTCTGTATGATTTAAAAGACATAAAACAACAGGTATGGTTAAGCTTATCCAAACTTCTTTCTTACTTTGAAATGATTCTTTGTGGATATTTATTCAACAGCAAATACAACTGAACAGATGTAGTTAGATAGGGTAATATATAATATCCAAGCAGGATAAGGGTCACAAATTGGATTTGTGTCATTTCAACGTTCTCGATAATTCGATAAGGGCTACTTTTGGATGTCATCATCAGGTGACTGCTTTGATCGAAATCGATAAAAACGAATCTTTATGAGTGTTCAAATTGTTTACTATTTAATGCGAGTTTCTACGTAAGGTTAAAACAATAAGTAATTAAATGTCAAATTCAAAAATAATATAAATTACTGAGAGGTAAAGGGTGGAAAAGCTTTATCTTCTCTCTGTTTGTGAAGTTAAAATGATTATACATAAACTAATTTAGTTTTAAAATACATTTGTTACATGAATTTGGTGGGTTGTAACAAACAGTAGTATCATTGCAACTACAGTAATCCTTTCCTATTTTTTGCTAACTAACTACAGTAGCCCCTCAATCTTTCACTAATTACATTATTTTGAAGTTCGAGTGATTATACATAGACTACTTCAGTTTAGAAGTACATTTACTATATGAATTTGATGAGTTGTAACAAACAGTAGTATCATTGCAACTACAGTAACCCTTCTCTATCTTGTTTACTAACAGCTAGAGTGTTCCATTTTGTGCAATTTGTTTTATTTTGAAATTTACAATTTAAATTTTGTGAAACAAATTTGCAACATTTTTTGGCGATTTAAAAGATTATGCGCAGATTTTATAGATTTAAGATCATAGATTTCAGATTAAGATCATTGACTTAAGATCATAGATCATAGATTTCAGATTAAGATCATTGACTTAAGATCATAGATCATAGATTATTGCAATTTTAGTCCATTTTGTGCAATTTGTTTTATTTTGAAATTTGCAATTTAAATTTCATGAAATAAATTTTGTACACATACACACAAATACACATAAACATATTTAAAGCAATGTAACGATACATAAATGCAATGAATGAAGCATATTTTTTTCAACTTCAAAATTTCATCAACTTTTTTTCTCATTAAAATTAAATTATCGCTACTAGGAAAGACTGACATATTCATCTAAAAGCATCGGAAGATTTATTTTAGTAATATTCAAAACCCGTTCTGTCTATTCCTATGTGACATTCCCAAATGACAAGTATGTTAACAGATGTATCGCTTAAAATTGTCGCATTGAAAAAAATAATTAATATATACAAGCATTTAAACGGGATACTCCTGGTATCTTTTCTTGCATACATACCCGCTTCATTGTTCTGGTAACATCTGCATCAATTTTCCATCCTACTTTATCCGCTCGATCCAGCAATAATCAATTTTATTATGTTTGAGCCCAGTCATAGTAAAAAGTATTTTTTGTCCGGGGAATCTCGAAATAATAGCTCAATCATCAAACAGTAAACTATAGTCATAATTCTGTAATTGGTACAGGATATTCGGAAATAATCCTAAAATTGTCATCCGCATAGCTTTTTGGCAGTGTTTGCGGAATTGTTGCCGCAGGTGGGGGTATCGGATAGACCGGACGTGCACGTTCGTAAGCGTTATATTCGGCAGGAAACATTACGCTGCTATAATAACCTTCATCATCATAGAGACCGCCGGAACGAGAGAAACCTAAAATTGTAGAAATATGTCGGAAATCGAAAAAAAGATGAAAATACCGGATAACTTGAAATATAAATTTTTTTTTTAATTCGTCAAAACGGTTGGTTAATCATAAGAAAGTCTTTTTATTGGTTTAAGTAAACGTTAAAGTATTCCGATATATTTGCCTGATTGAATTATAAATTTATTATATCCATTACCTTTTATTCGTGACATTGCATAAATCCACTAATTACTTTATACTCTTATCATCATCTAAATTAATTTAGTTTGTTTCCAGTTCCTCTTCCGGAATGTAATTAATTATGTAATATTTGATAACATACCATTTGAAGTACTACGATTTGTTGTCGTATAGCAAGTCTGCTCGGATAATAAGTCAGATTTATCATTGATTGATGAAGTGATAAGGAAAGGTTTACTGTATAGATGTGAGCGACATTTGTTTCGAGTACGATATTTGACGGATGAAAATTTGTTGCATAATGGAAAATGTCGACGGATACAGAAACCAAGAAGTAGTAAAATGGTAAGAGCTAATAATGAAGCACCAAGAATAGCAAAGTTTAGTTGTGATTTGCTTAATGTTGTGCAATTCTCAGACTGTAATCAAAAAAATAAAAATTAATTTCCAAAATTAAAATTCAATTAATGATTAGTAATTGTATTTTGGAAATGGAAAATAAAATTAAAAAGGAATTAAATTTAATGGTGGAAAAGATGTTTCCATCATTTGCGCATGTTCTCTTCTTTTTTTTTATCTTTGTGATTTATTCCCACTGTAGTAGCCAACGGCTGAACTTTGACCTTTGTGAGAAAAGAGGAGGATGAAATTTCGAAAATTTCTGATGTATTATTCTGCGATTAAATTTTATGTTATTACAAAGAAATAATTTTGTTCCCACAAGAAACTCTTTTTTTTTGTTGTTGTCATTCTCGGAAAAACCTATTTTATTTTTGTTGGATTAGTCTGATGGAAATTTTGTCTATTTAAAAATATTAGCCAACAGATGAGAAAATGGTCAAATAGTTCAAAGGTCAAAAAGCATAAGTCAGAAAATTAGCTTGAAATTGGACAAAAAGAAAAAAAATTACTGCAAATATTTCAAATATTTCAAGTGTAAATGTTAGTTAGCCTACCAGCTGCATGATATTTTTGTCGAATAGCCAAGGTGGTGTAAAACAGGTGATATTGATTGAGAATTTTCGAAGCACTTCCGGAAGGAACGATAACAGTTCACAATCACAATGAAACGGATTACCGGATATGTGTAATGATTTTAAACTAAAAATTGATATACATAATATTGCTGAATCCAAATGATGGTCAAGATAATTTAATGTTGAATGATAGAACATTTGCGGAATAAAATATGTTTTTTTTTTTTTTTCATATCTTATTCCACTTGCGGAATGAAATATGCAACATACTTTGTCCATTCCGCAAGTTTCTGCGGTAATCGTATCAGTCGACAATTGCTCAGATCAAGTATCTCCAATCGATCACCATATTCAAATGCATTTTCGTCAATTTTTTCCAAAATATGACATGAGGATAAATTAAGATTGCGTAAATTTATCAAACCAGAAAATGCATTCGGCTAAAAAGAAAAAAAGAAAGGAAAAAAGTGGTAAAATAATGTAATTTACTGATATTTGAAATATTAAATAATAAGATTTTCTATAAATCTATCAAAATTTTCATCTGAAATGGACAATGGTCAATAGTTTATCTGAAATGGACAATGGTCAATAGTGTGATGAAATAAATTTACTAAAAAGCATGTAAACATGTAGCATATTCCTTCAAACAACAAAATAATCGGAATTATTTGAAGATGCTTTTTACCTGAAGAATATTATGATTCAATTTATTTTAATCCATTCTTTCGGTTAAATAAGACTTTGATTAATATTGGAAATAAAATTTAAAAATTAAATTAATAAGTAATCATTTGAATTAAGTAAATAACATCAATAGATATGAATCATTTGAAGATAAAATTAGAATATGATGCTAACCTTTATGGAATGTAAGTATGGTTCATTGGTCATTCGAAGGATCTCAAGTGAATTTAGACCAATAAATGATGATGTCGCTAATTCCATCATTTGATTAGCTGATAAATCAAGCTCACGTAATTCACTTAATGGACGATAATTTGATGCTATGATTCGTTGTAACTAAAAATGAAATTTTAACAGACGAAAGAATAATAGATAAATTCCATTTATATATTAAGCCGTGTCAAATCAGATGTCACATTTGGGATGGTTCGAGAAAAAAAGTTACAGTGATTAGCATAACCTGGCTTTTATTAATGATTAATATGACTTGGCTTTTATTAGTAATTAGCATCACTTGGCTTTTATTAAATGATTAGTATCATTTGGCTTAGCCATATTTTGTATGTGCGTCAAAATCGCTAAAAGGTGAAAATCATAGAAAGGATGTAGACAAGAAGTTTTTTATCAAATAATTTGTTCAAACAAATAGATCTCACTGAAACTTATACCAAATTATAACTGATATTGAGATATTGCAAACTGTTGAGACCATTAAATGACAGGTCATCAGTAAGTGAATTTGAGCTAAGGTCAAGATGTTTTAAAGAGGTCAAGCTGGCGAATGTATCTGATCCAATCTGCAACAAGAATCTTTAATCCTTCTATTAACTAATTTTTTAAAACAATTAAATTTTCTTGTAAACTTTATATATTTTAAACAGAATAAAATTGTAATAAGTAATTGGAAAATTCTCGATGAAGATAAAAAGACAGAGAGAGAGAGAGAGAGAGGGAAAAAAAAGAAGAAATGTTCATAGTATTGAATAAAATATCAGACAAAAATTTTTTCCGGGAATTCCTGAAAAGCGGGATGAAAATGTAATGCAAATGAATTTATTTGGTAAATTTTCAAAATTAAAAATATACCTTTGAAAGATTATTTTTGCTAAGATTAAGTGATTGTAAAGTTGTTATATCATCGAATAAATGTTCACCAATTGTATGTAATCGATTATTGGATAAATCTAATTGTTGTAAATTTTTTAAACCAACAAAAGTTTCCGATTGTAATTTTGTGAGTAAATTATTTGATAGAATTAATTTTTGAAGATTATTAAGTATCGAAAATGTCGATGGTTCCAATTGAAGAAGTTGATTGGTGGAGAGATCAAGTATCTGTAATAATTATTTATTTTCATTTTTTTTTTTTTTTTGAAAAAAAAAATTTATTCTTCAATTTTTTACACAAAAAAAAAGCAAAAATAAAATTGAAGAAAAAGATTTTTTAATTTAAAAAATTGAATTCAAAATATTTTAGTTTAGAAATTTCAATTCTGATATATTTTATTATTTACATAGAATACTCAAAATGGTTTACATTTTTTTTTTTTGCAATATACAAAAAGATTTTAATTTTTTTTTGCTGTATAAAAAAATTTTAATTTAAAAATTTTAATTCAAAAATTTCATTAAAGGAATATATCGAAAGTACTTCAATTCTGATATACTTTATTAATTGCATAAAAATACTTAAAATGGTTTAAATAATAGTAAAAAAATTTAACCATAACATTTTTTTTGCAATATATAAGTAAATTTATTAAAATTT